GAAACCATGTGATATGTAAGCTTGTGTCTGACTTATTTGCCATATCAATATGGCCCAAAGTGCACCCATTTTCCTACAAATGGTTCAAGTTTATCCCTTGTTATGGCAAAGAGGTACTTGATGGTGCACAAATATCACATTTTCATTATTCTTTCATCCGTTGATGGGCATATAGTCTGTGTCCAAGATTTAGCTGTTATAAATTGTGCTGTAGTAAACATGGGTATGTGTGTATCACTGGACTATGATGTCTTTAACTCTTTTGGAAAGATACTTACAAGGGGAAGAGCTGGATCAAATGGAATTTCTAATTTTGAGGAATCTCCATACCGATTTCCACACTTCCACAGTGGTTTTTCAAGTTCACATCCCCACTGTAACAGAAAATACCTCCCCTATAACCAGTATACTTCAATTTCTTAGTTGCCCAGGTAATAGTTCCTGTTCCAGTTCTGGTTGTTTCTGGACTCTTAGAAATAGCTGGTCACTGATGCACAGCTGGTCATTATGATGCACATTATATAAACCAATCCTTAACTGACAAGCTATTCTGCCTCTGTACTTCCTGCTCGCTTATCCAATATGAGCCCTAGACCATCAGAGATCAGGGTCTAATATTTTGGGAATGATCCTGATCAGTGCCCATTGACATAAAATAAATCTGCCTCCAAATCCTGGGTGCCACTTCATTGTTTCTGCTTGTCATAGCACCACCAACAGGCAGTGTCCCGCCCACCCTGCACTAACCTACTCCCCCCCCCAAAACCAGGAATCGAACTCACGACCTCGCACTTGCCAGGCAGGTGCTGTGCCGCTGAGCTAAATCCCCAGCCCTAACCTACTTTCTATCTGTATGGATTTACCTATTCTATATAGTTCATATAGATGGAATCATACGTATGTGGTCTTTGCTGTCTGGCCTCTTTCACTTAGCATGTTTTCAAGGTTCATCTACATTGACTGTCATCTCCTTTAATTCTCTTAGTAGCACTCTACAAAACAATGGCAGACCAATGTTACTATTGAAGAAATGGAGGCATATGTTAACTTCCTGTTGGGCACAAAAATCACACTTTAATTCAATAAATATGTGTGGAGTACCTACCTAGGCCAGAACTTTTTTATAAGCCATTTGTGGTAATGTAGGGTAGTGATGCCATATAAATAGACGTCTACATAATGTTAAACAGTACATTTATGGAAATAAATATAATGTATAATATAAATAAATTCAATGAAGAAAAAGTTAGCAAAATACGTGGATAGGAAATATCAGGGCTACAGAAAGGGTGGTTAGGGAGATGCTCTCTGAGGAAACATTTGAGGTGAGACCTAAATTAAAGGAGGAAATACGTTATGCAGAAATTACTTCAGGCAGAAGGAACAGCAAATGCGAGCCTGGAAGGCAGTTTGAGGAGAAGTCTGGAGAAAGGTAGAGGAGGTCAGAGGTTTGGCCTCAACTGAGGGCATGAGTAGCTCTTCCATTGTAACACGAAGGAGGGCACAGTAGAGTGTCAAATATAGTACAGGTAAAACTGGTTGGTAGATACAGTGATGAAGGATGGAGAAGTTCTCTCCTCAGAAGTAACAGTGCTTTTGTTATCTCAGAGTAACGATGAGAAAAGTGACAACTGAGAGTGACGAAGTGAGAATGGCACTGAAAGTTGAGAAACGAAGAGAATGATTGGACTATGGGTATTTAGTGGAGTTGTCTAGAGGCACTGGGGGATCACTTATGTTTATTCTAGCCACATTAAGCCCTCCAAGCTTAAATGCAGAGTATGTAGGAAAGGTAGTTTGAACCAGAGATGAGTTTTGCCAAGTGAGTAGGGCCACAGGAAAGAGTGACAAGTGCACTAGAGATGTGCTATGGCTTGTGTCTAGTGCACCCCCAAAGCCTTATGCAGTCATAGATGGGGCTTTGTCAGAGGTACCTGGATCTACAGTGTCTGATGCTAGGATGATTCATTGTGTAATGCTAGGATCAAGGGCACTAGAACTAAGGGTATGTATGAGTGCTACTGCTCTAAGTACCCTGGGTAAGATATAACAGATGGAAAGAGCTGTGATTGTTTCTTGCTTGTTTTGCTACCTTTGGCCCACCATGAACAGTTTGTGATGACTCTCTGCCTGCCATCCACCCCATCCTGGAGTCAGTCAATTGTGGACTGAAACTTTTCCTCCTTTAAATTTAGGTGTCAATGTATTGTCTCAGCAATGAGAAAAGTAATTAAGACAGAATTTGGTAGCAGAGAAGTGGGGTCGCTGCTGTGACTATACCTGACCATGTGGTTTAGGAGCCACTGGAGTTGGCTTGTGGGAGAGAGAAGAGTTAGGAAAGGTTTGAAGATGCTGGCTGAAAAACCAAAGCTGGAACACCTAAGACTGTACTTGAGAGGATATTCTGGTCAGAGCACAGAAGACCAGAACACTGGTAGAAATTCTGCTGGTAAAGAATAGGCTCAGGAGGTTTCTTCTGGGAAGAAGGACTGCATTGGATTCCAGAAGATATGCATCAGGGCTTGGCAAAAAGTTTGTCTGCCTTTTCCTAATGTCCGGAGACATTGCCTGAGACCTGAGATTAAGAGTAACAAACTAATTAGTCTGGCAGAAGAAATTCCAAGGCAGTCTAATGTTGGGGCAGTGGCAAGGTTAAAAGGTAGGAGCTTTTAGCTATATTTATTTTGAGAATCAAGAGCAAAGAGCCTGGCAGGATGGTTCAAAATGTAGAGAGTTTGGCCAGAAAGGAAGCTCCAATAAGGTTGCAGCCTGCAAAGATAGAAGAGAGGAGAAATTGGTCACTGAAAAGACTAGCAAGAAAAAGCCAAGTATTTCAGAGGACAACAGAAAAGATGGCCAGAGGACATCACAAGAACAGGACTCCAGACTTTTCAGCCTCAGAGTTGCAAAGTTGAAAGACTTTGCATTGAGAAGAAAACCCCAGAGCACCATGTTCCAGATTGGCAGCAGCCTGAAAAATTGGTTCCTCAGGATTAGGTTCAGAGTACTCAGCAACTCAAGGACTGGACCACTACAGCCAAGAAAGAAGGAACCGTAGCAGACTGCGGTATCATCCACATGATGCTGGTTTCAAGTGCATGCAAAATGGAAATACCTAGTACATATAATGTCCTGGGGTCAGAAAAACTTCCACCAATTTCAAAAGAAGGCCTGGGAGGCCAGGCAGTGTACTCCTGAGAGGGCAGTGTATGAAACTGTGAGTGTGAAGCCAAAGGGGCAGTGGAGACCTCAAAGTTTGGAGAAGCCAGGAATGTGGATCACCTGAGGAAAACTGCAAGGAGGGAGCACAGCTGGATCAAGAGAGAAGCCATGGGAGCTACAACCACTAGCAGTGCCGCAGGTGTGGGCAGAGCCACCCAAGCTCTTTGGAGTTCACAACTTGCCACAGATTGCCAGGGATGCTGAAAGTGGAACTGTGGGATTTAATGTTTGCCCTGTTGGATTTTGGTCTTACTTTGTTCCCATTCTTTGCTATCTCCATTTGTAACTTCTGAAATGGAAATGTCTATCTTGTGCCATTGAATGTTGGAAGTGTTTAACTTTCTTTTTATTTGTACAGGGGTTCTGAGGTAAAAGTTTGCCCTAAATCTCAAAGGAGACTCTGGATTTGGACTTTTCAGCAATGCTGAAACTGTTATGACTTTGGCAACTCTGAGATGGACTAAATGCCTTTTGCATAAAGGGATGTGCATTAGTCTTTAGGGGGCCAGGGGCGGAATGTAATGGCTGTGTCTAGATGTTACCACAAAGCCTCATGCAAAGCTGGGCGTGGTGATGCACACCTGTAATCCCAGCACTCGGGAGGCTGAGGCAGGAGGATCATTGGGAGTATAGATCAGCTTGGACTACAAAGTGAGCTCAAGGCCAGCCTGAACTGCATAGTGAGGCCCTGTCTCAAAAAGACAAAAAAAAAGCCTCATGCAGTTATAGGTGGGACTAGAGGTGCCTGCATCTAGAGTGTGTGATGCTAGGATTGACTCAAGGTGCAATGCTATGATCAAGGGCACTGGGATTAAGGGTATGAGAGCTTCCTGCCTTAAGTAGTTTGGATAAGATATAACAGACAGAAAGAGCTTTGCTACTTTCTGCCTGCCATAAACTGTTTCTGCTTTGCAATGCCTGTGTGTCGTGCCAGCCTGCTTTGGAGCCAGCCAATTATGAACTGAAACCATCCAGACATATCCAGAAGTGAGTTTTATTAATCTCCTAGGTATCTCTCAAGCCAATCATGTTGACAGTCAAAATTAACCACCAGAAGTTGGGTATAGTGGGCAATACTTGTAATCCCAGCACTCCAGAGGCTGAGGCAGAAGGATGATGAATGCAAGGCCAGCCTGGACTACAGAGTGAGATCCTATCACAGAAAACCAAAAGAAAAAAAAATTAACCATCACACCTACTGAAACTTAAAAAACATTATGAAAAATTTCAACATCTACAAGAATGTTTTCAAATAATTCTCGCACATCCCTGACCTCCTCCTTTTCAACTGTTTTGAAATAAATACTTGAATTCATATTACTTTATCAATATTTATCTCTAAAAGATGAATTTTAAAAATTTTTTTGTTTTTATTTTTATTTTTTTGTCTTTTTGAGACAGGGTCTCACTGTGCAGTTCGTGCTGACCTTGAACTCACAATGATCCTCCTGCCTCAGCATCCCGAGTGCTGGGATCACAGGTATGTGCCACCACACCTGGCTTAAAAGATGAATTTTTAAAAATTCCATCAAAAATTATAATTTTTCAATATCATCAAGTATCTAGTCAGTGTTCAAGCTTTCCTGATTGGCACATTTTTTAAATTTTTTTTTTTATTTTTTATTTTTTTTCCGGTACTGGGAACCGAACTCACGACCTTGCGCTTGCCAGGCAGGCGCTGTGCCGCTGAGCTAAATCCCCAGCCCCGGCACATTTTTTAAAAACAGATCCTTGTTTATATTAGGCTGAAAATAAAGTCTATAAATTTCAATTGCTTAATATGTTGAAGAAATGTGTCCTTTTTCCAATAGTTTCCCAAAGTATGGACTTTGCAGACTGTTATTGAAATACTCCTCTGTTCTACGTAATTCCTGGAAAGTAGTCATTAAATGTTCAGGTTGATGAAATGCAGTTTCATTTTTTGTGAGAAAAATAAAATGAATACAACTATAGGTGGTACTGATGAGAAGCCATTATGACAGGTATCCTTTCTTTGTGACAGTAGCCACAAGTGATTTTTGTCTAGACCCACTAATAGACAAATTATTTCATTAGGAGGGTAGTGTATTGACAACTGGTAGTCAACTTATAACACCCAG